CTTCGATCAATGATCCGAGAATTGATAGGATCAACATCTGTGTGTTAATACTGCCATTGTAAGGAGACCCCTCCCCCACACCCAAAAGCTGCCTTTTTAAAAACTTTCTATGTCTGCCAGATCCGGGGGGGGTGGGGGGGGGGGGGGTTTCCGGCCCTCCATTGTCACAGCTTTTACTGTAAAGACACCTTTCCAAAAGGCTGAATTCACTCCTATGCACGTGTGTTTGTATGTCCACCATCATTGCTAACACACATGGAAAGTTTCAATCCCTACAACACAGAGGGACAAATTTTGCCCTCTCTTCCCTAAACAATCCATCTGTAAGCAAGCCCCGCCCCTGCTGAGCTCTGAGGCAGTCCTAGAGGAGCCTCATCTAAGGAGGCTGCATGGGGAGTTCCTGGTGCGCATCTTTGGGAGCACCTCAGAGACAGCCTAAGTGACACCCCCCAGCCCCCAACAATGTGAAATTCAGATATAAAAGCTGATTGGACGGAGTTTGTGCTGTGTACATCAACCAATTTAAATCTGACCTCCAACCTCCCCTTCAGTCTTGCACAGGTGTACCAGCTCCTCCCCTTCAGTCTTCACAGGTGTAGCCCCTCCCCTCCTCCCAGCTCTCCAGTCTTCCACAGGTCCTCCCCTAGTCTTGCACAGGCTCCTCTCCCCCTCCAGTCTTGCACAGGTGTAGCAGCTCCTCCCCTTCAGTCTTGCACAGATGCAGCAGCTCCTCCCCTTCAGTCTTGCATAGTTGTACCGACTCCTCCCCTCCAGTCTTCCACAGGTGTACCGGCTCCTCCCCTTCAGTCTGGCATCATACCAGCTCCTCCCCTTCAGTCTTCCACAGGTGTACCGGCTCCTCCCCTCCAGTCTTGCACAGGTGTAGCAGCTCCTCCCCTTCAGTCTTGCATAGTTGTACCGACTCCTCCCCTCCAGTCTTCCACAGGTGTACCGGCTCCTCCCCTTCAGTCTGGCATCATTATACCAGCTCCTCCCCTTCAGTCTTCCACAGGTGTACCGGCTCCTCCCCTCCAGTCTTGCACAGGTGTAGCAGCTCCTCCCCTTCAGTCTTGCATAGTTGTACCGACTCCTCCCCTCCAGTCTGGCACAGGTGTACCGGCTCCTCCCCTTCAGTCTTGCACAGGTGTAGCGGCTGCATACTTCCCCTGTCCTATGCACACTTCCCGTGACCTGTGCACACCTCCTCTGTCCTCTGCAGACTGCTTCTTTCCTTAGCTGGCACACCTCCTCTGTGCACCTCCCATGTTTTGTGTACATCTCCCGTGTCCACTGCACACTTCCTGTGACCCGTTAACACCCTTTTTGTCCTCTGCGTACTTCCCCTGTCCTGTGCACACTTTCTGTGACCTGTGCACACCTCCCCTGTCCTCAACATGGGAAGTGTGTGTTCTGCACACCCCCTGTCCTCCTCACCCCTCCCCTGTCCTCCTCACGCCTCCCCTGTCCTCCTCACGCCTCCCTGTCCCCCTCCTCCTCACGCCTCCCCCTGTCCTCCGCACGCCTCCCCTGTCCTCCGCACGCCTCCCCTGTCCTCCTCACGCCTCCCCTGTCCTCCGCACCCCTGCCTCCCCCCTGTCCTGTCCTCCGCACGCCTCCCCTGTCCTCCTCACCGCCTCCCTCCCCTGTCCTCCGCACGCCTCCCCTGTCCTCCCACGCCTCCCCTGTCCTCCTCACGCCTCCCCTGTCCTCCGCACGCCTCCCCTGTCCTCCTCACGCCTCCCCTGTCCTCCGCACGCCTCCCCTGTCCTCCGCACGCCTCCCCTGTCCTCCGCACGCCTCCCCTGTCCTCCGCACACCCTCCCCTGTCCTCCGCACAGAGACCTCCCCTGTCCTCCGCACACCAGCGACCCAATAATCTGTCCTCCAGCACACGAGCCCCCCTGTCCTCCTCACGCCTCCCCTGTCCTCCGCACAGAGCCTCCCCTGTCCTCCGCACGCCTCCCCTGTCCTCCTCACGCCTCCCCTGTCCTCCGCACACCTCCCCTGTCCTCCGCACACCTACCCTGTCCTCCTGTCCCTCCCCTGTCCTCCGCACACCTCCCCTGTCCTCCGCACACCTCCCCTGTCCTCCGCACACCTCCCCTGTCCTCCGCAGATGCTAGAAGAGCTGATCACACCTCCATTTTATGTTACTTTAGGCCTAATCCTGTCTTTTGCCCAAACATCGCCCAGAGCAGAGACACCCCACAGACATCGATCGACCAAAAATCCCCACACCAGCCGACCCAATAATCTGTATAGATGGGGGAGGGGAATCCAGTTCATATAAAAAGTCATTTAACACGAGCAGATGACCCTTTGGGATTGGTCCTGACAAGACGTGACATTTGCTGAGCGGAGGCGGGCGCTGTCGTCATGGTGATTACAGCCACAGAGCCGCCAAGTTAGCTGGTGATGAAAGGTTGTCGATTATTGTATACCTGTCAAGATAACCCCCTCCCCCGACCGCTGCCAGTGGGGATGATGTGAAGCCGCGCAGTAGGTGTCCCCGGATCCGCTAGATCCGTCTGATCCCTCCGCTAGATCCGTCTGATCCCTCCGCTAGATGCGAGTCTGATCCCTCCGCTAGATGCGGCTGATCCCTCCGCTAGATGCGGCTGATCCCTGATCCCTCCGCTAGATGAGTCTGATCCCTCCGCTAGATGCGGCTGATCCCTCCGCTAGATGCGTCTGATCCCTCCGCTAGATCCGTCTGATCCCTCCGCTAGATCCGTCTGATCCCTCCGCTAGATCCGTCTGATCCCTCCGCTAGATGCGGCTGATCCCTCCGCTAGATGCGGCTGATCCCTCCGCTAGATGCGGCTGATCCCTCCGCTAGATGAGTCTGATCCCTCCGCTAGATGCGTCTGATCCCTCCGCTAGATCCCTGATCCCTCCGCTAGATGCGTCTGATCCCTCCGCTAGATGAGTCTGATCCCTCCGCTAGATCCGTCTGATCCCTCCGCTAGATGCGTCTGATCCCTCCGCTAGATGCGTCTGATCCCTAGATCCGCTAGATGCTAGATGCGGCTGATCCCTCCGCTAGATGATCTGATCCCTCCGCTAGATGCCGTCTGATCCCTCCGCTAGATCGTCTGATCCCTCCGCTAGATGCGGCTCCGCTAGATCCCTCCGCTAGATGCGTCTGATCCCTCCGCTAGATGCGGCTGATCCCTCCGCTAGATCCGTCTGATCCCTCCGCTAGATCCGTCTGATCCCTCCGCTAGATGCGGCTGATCCCTCCGCTAGATCCGTCTGATCCCTCCGCTAGATGCGGCTGATCCCTCCGCTAGATCCGTCTGATCCCTCCGCTAGATGCGGCTGATCCCTCCGCTAGATCCGGCTGATCCCTCCGCTAGATGCGGCTGATCCCCTCCCGCTAGATCCGTCTGATCCCTCCGCTAGATGCGGCTGATCCCTCCGCTAGATGCGGCTGATCCCTCGTAGATGCGGCTGATCCCTCCGCTAGATGCGGCTGATCCCTCCGCTAGATCCGTCTGATCCCTCCGCTAGATCCGTCTGATCCCTCCGCTAGATCCGGCTGATCCCTCCGCTAGATGCGTCTGATCCCTCCGCTAGATCCGTCTGATCCCTCCACTAGATGCGGCTGATCCCTCCACTAGATCCGTCTGATCCCTCCGCTAGATGCGGCTGATCCCTCCGCTAGATGCGTCTGATCCCTCCGCTAGATCCGTCTGATCCCTCCGCTAGATGCGGCTGATCCCTCCGCTAGATCCGTCTGATCCCACTCCTGATCCCTCCGCTAGATGCGTCTGATCCCTCCGCTAGATGCGTCTGATCCCTCCGCTAGATGCGGCTGTTCCCTCCGCTAGATCCGTCTGATCCCTCCGCTAGATGCGGCTGATCCCTCCGCTAGATGCGTCTGATCCCTCCACTAGATGCAGCTGATCCCTCCGCTAGATGCGTCTGATCCCTCCGCTAGATGCGTCTGATCCCTGATGGGCATCTTCCAGAAATAGGAGATAATATGTCGCTGCTCATACCTGCCAGGATCCAATGGTTTCCATACAGCACATGCCTTCCGTCCGGTGTCAGGGAGTGTGCGCTAAAACAAGTGCAGAGATCGCCCAGCTGATCAGCAGCCAAATCAGGAGATCAGAATCATTGGAGTCCCGAGAGGTAACCCCTTCCATTCCACCCAGTGCCTGCAGTGGACGGTCTAAAGTGGACCTGTCAGAAACCAAGCAACAAACACGAATTCCTGACAATATGCGGCAACAGCGGCATTGTTCAGAAAAGCCGTCCCGGAGCTTCAGGCCAGGATCACTTCTATGCAGGTTGCGGTTGATGCACTTCTCCGGCGCGTTTTGTGGTGCATTATGCATTTTTGATGCATTTTGCTGTTTTTGGGAGGCGGTAATAAAAAAGTATGACAGTTGTGTTCATGTAGGGGGACTTTGATGCGACTTTACACTCTCCGTCACTCAAATAGCAACAAAGTCGAATCAAAGTAGTGCAGGAACCTCTATGTGTGCAAAGTCGCATGTTGGGGTCACATGTTGGGGTCACGTGTTGGGGGTCACATGTTGGGGTTAGGGAAGCCCTGAACACTAACATGCAGCTTTGGACACGTAGAGGTTCCTTCATTCATGGGATGGCGACTTTGAGTGCCGGAGAGTGTAAAGTCGCAACAAAGTCCCACAACATGGACAGAACTGTATCCCAATAGTCCCCCTATTCCCTTCCGTCTTGCACAGGTGTAACGGCTCCTCCCCTCATCTTGCACAGGTGTATCGGCTCCTCCCTTCCGTCTTGCACAGGTGTAACGGCTCCTCCCCTTCAGTCTTGCACAGGTGTGCCGGCTCCTCCCCTTCAGTCTGGCACAGGTGTGCCGGCTCCTCCCCTTCAGTGTTGCACAGGTGTACTGGCTCATCCCTTCAGTCTTGCACAGGTGTAACCGGCTCCTCCCCTTCCGTCTTGCACAGGTGTAACGGCTCCTCCCCTTCAGTCTTGCACAGGTGTACTGGCTCCTCCCCTTCAGTCTGGCACAGGTGTACCGGCTCCTCCCCTTCAGTCTTGCACAGGTGTAACGGCTCCTCCCCTTCAGTCTTGCACAGGTGTAACGGCTCCTCCCCTTCAGTCTTGCACAGGTGTAACGGCTCCTCCCCTTCAGTCTTGCACAGGTGTAACGGCTCCTCTCCCTTCAGTCTTGCACAGGTGTGCCGGCTCCTCCCCTTCAGTGTTGCACAGGTGTACTGGCTCATCCCCTTCAGTCTGGCACAGGTGTACCGGCTCCTCCCCTTCAGTCTTGCACAGGTGTACCGGCTCCTCCCCTTCAGTCTTGCACAGGTGTACCGGCTCCTCCCCTTCAGTCTTGCACAGGTGTACCGGCTCCTCCCCTTCAGTCTTGCACAGGTGTAGCGGCTCCTCCCCTTCAGTCTTGCACAGGTCTACCGGCTCCTCCCCTTCAGTCTTGCACATAGTCTACCGCTCCTCCCCTTCTGTCTTGCATAGTTGTACTGGCTCCTCCCCTCTTCCCCTCACGTCTCCTGGCCCCACCCCTTTCATTCACAGGATTTCAGTTCTTTCAATCACAGAGGCTCAGCATCACAGGGAGGTGTTACCTATGCAAATACAGCCTGCCTAGAACCACCCACTCCTCCAGAGTGACACCCAACAAGGCATTGTGATATTTGCATAAACTCCTCCCAGTACTTGCATCAGGACTCTTGAGAGGAGTACTGGGGCAGGTGGGCTGTAATGTTTTCAGGAAGCTATGTCCTGCTGGCCCCTCCCACCAGCCATGATCTGCCTGAATTGCCTAGAGAAGCACAGAGACCCAGTGATGGTCTGAATAAGCTATTTAATGAAGGTGGTTTTATTTACAAAATGTCATTACCATGTTGATGAGGGGGGAGGGGGTAAAAAAAATAAAAGGAAATTTGGAAATGATTTCAGGGTTTCTGGTATTAATATGTGAAGTTTTATTCAGGTGTATGTATCAAAGTTGTTTTTTCTGGGAGCAGCAATTTGATTGGTCGGGGTGAGTTATCACATCTCAAACCAGAGCCGTTCTTTTTACACTTTATTACATAAACCGTAAGTGCCACATCACCATTTTCAGCAGATATTTACATATTAACCCCCCCCCCAAAAAAAGGGGGTGGAGCCTGTCCCTTAAAGATAGTGGGAGGGGCTATGCAAATCATACTTCCTGCTGGTGTGAAAGAAGAGCGCCGGTTGCAACTTATCGGCAGCCGCCATCTTTGGTCCTGGCAGGTTTCCTTTTTTAAGGACTTCTTGATTTTTCAGCCGGTTGCTCAGCCATCCTTCTGTTCTGATCCTGCAGCCGGAACAGCTGTGCTGGACACGTGGAAAAAGGTAACAAAAAAAAAAATGCTCAACATAAAAGAGCCATTTTGAAAAAATGCGTAAAGTTGCCAAAAATGGTCGCTGTTTCCCCATTCAACTAAAAAAAAAAAAAAAATTCCCCCTTTATGGCCGGTTCACACCATAGAAACGCAGTCCAGATGCATTCTGGATGTGTTTTTGGCGTGTTCTGGTGCATTTTTGATGCTTTTCAGTTCAAATCTTGTTCACCGTACTTTTGCGCGCAAGGCTTTCCATCTAGAGTATTTTTTTTTACCCAATCTTTAATATCTTTCCAAAATTCGGTTTTTTATATTGCGTTTGTGGGCATTCAAATTAATTTTTTTTTTTCTTAAATTGGAACCACTATTTTTATTCTACGTGGCCTCTGCGTTAGAAAATATAGAATTGTTTTTAAGGGGTTTAATTCATTTTCTAGCAAAAAAAAAAAATACTAATTTTATTGGTTATGTTAAAAACTTTTGTATTCAAATTTTGTTCACCGTATTTTTGCACGCAAGGCTTCCATCTAGAGTATTTTTTTTTTTTTTACCCAATCTTTAATATCTTTTTAAATTTGGTTTTTATATTGTGTTTGTGGGCATTCAAATGAACTTTAAAAAAAAAAAAATTTTGGAACCAATATTTTATTCTACGTGACCTTTGCTATTAGAAAATATATAAATTGTTTAGGGGTTTAATTAATTTTCTAGCAAAAAAAAAAAAAATACTAATTTTATTGGTTATGTGAAAAATGTTGTTCAAATTTTGTTCACCGTATTTTTGCACGCAAGGCTTGCCATCTAGAGTTTTTTTTTTTTACCCAATCTTTAATATCTTTTTAAATTTGGTTTTATATTGTGTTTGTGGGCATTCAAATTAAAATTTTTTTTAAAAAATTGGGAACCAATATTTTATCTACGTGACCTCTGCTTTTAGAAAATATAGAATTGTTTAGGGGGTTTAATTAATTTTCTAGCAAAAAAAAAAAAATCTCATTTTATTGGTTATGTGAAAAACTTTGTTCAAATTTTGTTCACCGTATTTTTGCACGCAAGGCTTGCCATCTAGAGTATTTTTTTTTTTTTACCCAATCTTTAATATCTTTTTAAATTTGGTTTTATATTGTGTTTGTGGGCATTCAAATGAACTTTTTTTTTAAAAATTCAAAAATTTTTAAAACATTTTTTTTTAAATTGGAACCACTATTTTATTCTACGTGACCTCTGCTTTTAGAAAATATAGAATTGTTTAGGGGGTTTTTATTCAAAAAACTTTTCTAGCAAAAAAAAAATATTGTGTTTGTGGGCATTCAAATGAACTTTAAAAAAAAAAAATTACTAAAAATATAAAATTTTTAGAGGTTGGTTATGTGAAAAACTTTGTTCAAATTTTGTTCACCGTATTTTTGCACGCAAGGCTTGCCATCTAGAGTATTTTTTTTTTTTTTTACCCAATCTTTAATATCTTTTTAAAAATTTGGTTTTTATTGTGTTTGTGGGCATTCAAATTATTTTTTTAAAAAAAAATTGGAACCACTATTTTATTCTACGTGACCTCTGCTTTTAGAAAATATAGAATTGTTTAGGGGGTTTAATTCATTTTCTAGCAAAAAAAAAAAAAACTAATTTTATTGGTTATGTGAAAAATGTTGTTCAAATTTTGTTCACCGTATTTTTGCACGCAAGGCTTGCCATCTAGAGTATTTTTTTTTTTTTTACCCAATCTTTAATATCTTTTTAAAATTTGGTTTTATATTGTGTTTGTGGGCATTCAAATGAACTTTTTTTTTTAAAAATTCAAAAATTTTTAAAACATTTTTTTTTAAATTGGAACCACTATTTTATTCTACGTGACCTCTGCTTTTAGAAAATATAGAATTGTTTAGGGGGTTTAATTCATTTTCTAGCAAAAAAAAAAAAAATACTAATTTTATTGGTTATGTGAAAAACTTTGTTCAAATTTTGTTCACCGTATTTTTGCACGCAAGGCTTGCCATCTAGAGTATTTTTTTTTTTTTTACCCAATCTTTAATATCTTTTTAAAATTTGGTTTTATATTGTGTTTGTGGGCATTCAAATGAACTTTAAAAAAAAAAAATTTTGGAACCACTATTTTATTCTACGTGACCTCTGCTATTAGAAAATATATAAATTGTTTTAGAGGGTTTAATTAATTTTCTAGCAAAAAAAAAAAAACTAATTTTATTGGTTATGTGAAAAATGTTGTTCAAATTTTGTTCACCATATTTTTGCACGCAAGGCTTGCCATCTAGAGTATTTTTTTTTTTACCCAATCTTTAATATCTTTTTTTTAAATTGGTTTTATATTGTGTTTGTGGGCATTAAAACTTTATATATATATATATATATATTTCTTTATTTTTTTATTTATTTTTTTTTTAAATTGGAACCACTATTTTATTCTACGTGGCCTTTGCTTTTAGAAAATATATAATTGTTTGGGGACTTTAATTAATTTTCTAGCAAAAAAAGAAAATGCTAATTTTATTGGTTTTGTGAAAAATTAAAAAAAAAATTGAAGTATTTACCCGTATGGTTGATTCCAGCATGGTGTGGGAAAAGGTCATCCGCCATGTCTATTGATCATGGACGATAAAAAAAAATTAAGGTCCACGACTACAAAAAAGTTTGCTTTTTTCGTCTCTGCCACCTACAGGCAAAAAGCCTTCTGTGCCTCCAGCGGGGTATAAATGGGCGACTGTCATGGCTCCGCCCACAAAAAGGTTTGACCCCGATGACCCACCGCACTACGATCGGGTATTCCATATTAATTCATCTTTAAAAAGTTCTTGAAAAGGACATGACACAAAAAAAAGTCAGTGAGATCAGGATAGGGCGGACAGTACATGGGGGCTCCCGGGGCCCCCGGGACCCCTCAGTCCATGGGCGTGTTCAGCTGGTGGACCTGCATCTCTTGCTCCAGGTCAAACAGGTTGACGGAGTCGGCTGCGGTGACCGGTAGCGGGTCGGTACTGGGGTCCTTGTAATGGGGCAGTAGGTGCTCGTTGCCCAGGTGGCGGAGTACATGGAGTCTGTCTCCCCGCGCAGGGTTAGCACGTTCCTCAGCGACAGCCCCAGGCGGGGGGCGCTGTTGGAGTTGCGCACCGACAGGGAGATGACTCTGGAGCGGCGGCAGCAAGGTAGGTACTTCCCCATGGCTCGCTTGAAGTCCCTCATGAAGAGCGGGTAGATGATGGGGTTCATCATACTGTTACAGTAGCCCAGCCATGTCAGCACATCGAACAGCCCGGGGGGGACGCAGTCACAGACCGCCTGCGAGACAAGAGAGTAACGACCGTCAGTGCACCCGAGCAACACCGGGAAGAAATGAAGGTGGGGAGCTGCCCCCAGATGCATGCTGGGAGACTCTCTGGGATCTGTTCATGGAAAAGGTTTCTTTTAAATGGTTTTATAGCTCTGGAATGTTTTGTATTTTTTTTATACATTTAATATACAATCATGACAAAGGATCCCCAGAGCACTCTGCACTCCGCAAAAGCTGTCTGCTCTCGACCGCCTCTCTCTCAGACTGACACATTCAGGATCCAACTAAAGAGGAAGAAGGGGGTGGAGTCGATGCTTTGGAGAGGAGGAGGGGTCACTGCTGTGGAAGGGGAGGAGTCACTAGATGAATTGGTTACTGTTCCAGAGGGGGAAAGGGTCACTGCTCTGGAGGGGGGGTCACTGTTCTAAGGATTGGGGATCACTCCTCTGGGAAGGGGGGGTGCGCTGCTCTAAGAATGAAGGGGGCCAATGCCCTATGGATGGAGGAGATCACTGCTCGGGGAAGGGGCACTGTTCTAAGAATGGGGGGGGGATCACTATTTTGGAGGGGGAGGGGGGCACTGCTCTATAGGGGGGCACTGCTCTAAGGATGGGGGGTATCACTGCTCTGGAGGAAGGGGGGGGGGGTCACTGTGCTAGGCAGGGTGAGTCACTGCTCTGGAGGGGGGTCCCTGCTCTAAGGATGGGGGGGGATCATTGTTCTGGAGGAGGTCCCTGCTCTCAGGATGGGGGGGGATCATTGTTCTGGAGGGGTCACTGCTCTCAGGATGGGGGGGATCACTGTTCTTAAGGGGGAGGGGGGGTCTCTATTCTGGAGGGGGACATTGTTCTGGAGGAGGTCCCTGCTCTCAGGATGGGGGGGGGAATCATTGTTCTGGAGGGGGTCCCTGCTCTCAAGATGGGGGGGATCATTGTTCTGGAGGGGGTCCCTGCTCTCAGGATGGGGGGGGATCATTGTTCTGGAGGGGGTCCCTGCTCTCAGGATGGGGGGGGTCA